TTAAACTTATACACCGCTTCATTGAGCTTTGCAGCCCTCTCTAAGCTGTTTACAGAGTCATCCTCCTGCCCCCAACAACCTGGCTTGGCAGAATTAGCTGCAGTCCTGCACTCTTAACTCCCTGCGCCACCAGGTCTCCTTCTGTTGCATTTTTTTATGTTGCATTCAGACACACAAGGGAGAGAAATCCTTTCCAAGCCTGAGAGAGAGAGAGAGAGAGAGAGAGAGAGAGAGAGAGAGAAGGGCAGCCAATTTACCTTTGACGACACTCTGAAGCTTTTCCAGGTGGTTGTGGCGTTTCCCGTTGTAGATGACGGCTTCGACGGAGAAGATTAGCTTGGGTTGAATTTGGGAGAACCGATCCAGGACGCCCTGTGGGGTGGGGAGATGGTAAGGGGGAAGCAGACAATAGCAGAGAATTCGACAAACTTGGACGAACAGGGTTGGCTTTTATTTATAGTCCTCGACTTGCAACCATTTGAAGCTGCAACAGCCCCGGAAAAAGTGACTTTATGTCCGTTTTTCACACTTAAGGGTGAATATGTCATTGCCCAGAAGATCATGGGTTACCCTCTCCCCTCTTTGGAAGAGCTTTATAGCCCCCGCTGCCTCAAGAAAGTTCAAAGCATCCTCAAAGATCCATCTCATCCTGGGCACCCCCTTTTTTTGAACTATTACCATCTGGCAGATGGTACAGAATAATAAAAACAAGGACAACTAGGCTGGAAAACAGCTTCTATCCCAGGGCAGTAGCTCTGTTGAATTCTACTGTATAGTGCAGTGTTGGTGCGGTGTCAGGGGTTTTCGGTTCAATGTGTGGAGGGTGAAGGATGTGTGTTTGTGTTTATTTTCATGGTCATGACGTGCACTGAAGATGATGTTTGATTTTGCTGTACAAGGTGCAATGGCCATCAAGTCAACTAAACTAAACTTACGACCTTTGTAGCATCCCCTTGATCATGGGACTAAAATTCAGATGTTTGGCAACCGGTTCATACTTATGACCATTGTTGTGTGTCCCACGGTTGACAAGCAAAACCAATGGAGAAGCGAAATTCATCTCACCATGGGGTTACCAAACTTATCAAACGGCAGGGATTCGCTACACAAGTGCTGGTGAGGAAGGCCGTAAAAACGGGGCAAAACTCGCTTTAACAGAGGCCAGAGCTGAATCAACCTTGAGTCTGATGAGAATCAAACTACTGGCAGCCGGCAGAGTTGGCCTGCACCACCACCGCTACTATAACCATCACATCACACACACATACATACACACACACACAGGTCCTGCAACTAATTGTAAATATCTGCCAGTTGCCAAGTGTCCAAATTTTGATCACGTGTTATTGAGGTGGCAAGTTACTTTTTTTTGGCATCTCTGTAACTTCGAACATCCGTTAAAGGAACGGTTGTAAGTCAAGGACTACCAGCATTGCTTTGCCCAAAAGGAATTCACCCTTCCTTAGAGGCTGCAAATGTAAGTGGGGGGGGGGGGGAATTTGGGAACCAGGTGCTTAAGTGAGGGGAGGTCACTCACGTTGATGCCAAAATCCGGCGACGTCGCACTCCAGATGGCCCCGATGCTGGCAGCGGCCAGCATAGCCTCCACTGCGTGGATACCATTGGGCAGGTAACCTGGAACGGTTGCAGAAATGGAAGAGGAAGGAGATGAAAGATGGATCTTAGCTTAATTCACCAAGCGATCAAGAAAATAAAAGCCAACTTCGTTATAAAGAGAGCAATATAAAATGTTTTACAGATGGCATCTTCCTCCAACTAGATTGGCCCAAATTAGTAAAAGTATATCACTGTTGGAAATGTAGCATGGAGATAGACACCTATTATCATATGTGATAGAAATGTATAAAAGCAAAAAAATACTGGTGGAAAATAAAGGTTTGGATAGAAGAGATGGTTAACCAGAAAGTAAGAGTTCAGACCAGAAAGTTTCTTACTGGGAATTATTAATGAGAAATACAGTAAAGGAACAATATATTTAATGATACATATAATAACAGCTGCGAGATTGGCGTATGCCCCAAACTGGAAGAATGAAGATACCCCTACAGAAAGTGAAATAATAAGGAAAATATTAGTCTGTGCAGAGATGGACAGACTAACTACAGAAATCAAAGATAAGGGTGAGACAGAGTATTGTGAAGTCTGGAGTAAAATGTATCAGTGGTTGGAGTAAAGGAAAAAGAAACAAAGGGTTGATGCTTTATAGGAATGAAAGTTAAAGTTTTGTAAACCAAAGAGAATGGAATATAATGGACAAATATGAGATGATACGAATGCATGAGTATAAAAAGATGGTTGTAAATATGTATATAATTGTATATAAATATATATAGAAATAACATGCAGCTAGCACTATACTAATAACATAAGGGAAAAAGGAAATTAACTATTATGTGTATCTCTATACGCTTGTATGGCCAAAATGATGGGCAAGAAAGTCACACTGTCTTCAATTGTTTTTAATGTTTATTCAATAAAATTTATTTTAAAAAAGAAAGAAAGTAAAAGCCAGATCAGATCAGATCATCCAAAGGCACCCAAACTATCCGTGCTGCCTGCAAGGTGTATATTGCACCATCGCTCCTTCCTGCAGACTCCCCCAACAGGTAACACAACCCAGGTAAATTGCAACAAAGGCAAAGAGGTTTGTGAAATCCCAAACTGAGCCTGGGAAGAGGAAGGAGAAGCCCCACGTCCTCCCCTTCTCCTTTAAAAAGCCCACCAACTCAACAAGGAAGAACCTGTGCGCAGGAGGTCCCTCAAAATCCTGGAAAATTGTTAGGGGCCGGCTGGAGCCCTCGAAGGAGAACCAGGAATGGTTGCAGTCACCCAGCCCACCCCCAAATGGGTCCTTCGGGCTCGGTGGCACATTTTGAAACCCGATGGGAAACCTGAACTTCACCTATTTAGTAAGCCAAAGAGACAGTTCTCAGATCAGGCCTGGCTGGTTCGGGCCACAAAGCTCAGTTGTGTAAGTCATCACGAGGAGCTTGACAATCCTGCTCAACCAAGACCAGAAAAACCACGCTAGGGCTTACAGATAACCCTCAACCTACGAACACAATCGGGACCAGCATTTCCATCGCTCAGCAAAAGGTTAAGGGAGTCACATCCGATTTTATGACTTTTTAACTCAAGGCCAAGCCAATCATTGCCATTGTTAAGCCACTCGGATGGTCATTAAGTGAATTCAGGTTCCATTAAGCCAAGTTTGGAGACTTCTGCATTAAGTGAATAATATGGTCAATGAGTGAATCCACTGATTTTGTTTGTCAGAAACTGGCAGGGCAGTTCACAAATGGAAGATCATACGACCCCAGATTGCTGCAACCGTCGTAAGTGTGAACCTGTTGCCAAGTGCCCAGATTCTGATCAGGTCACCATGGAGATGCTGCCACCGTTGTTAAGTGTGAATACCAGTTGTAAGTGTGAGTGCCAGCTGTAAGTCACTTTCTTTGCAGACGATAGTAAGCTGGCAGGGATAGCCAACACCCCAGATGATAGGATCAGGATCCAGATGGATCTTGATAGAGTTGAACACTAGGCCCCATCGAACAAATTGAAATTCAATGTAGAGAATAGTAAAGTCTTACACTTGGGCAAGAAAAGCCAAAAGGACACATATAGACTGGGTGAAACCAGGCTTAATAGCAGCAACTGTGAGAGGGATCTTGGAGTCTTAGCGGACAACCAATTAAATAAGAGCTAACAGTGTGTGGCGGTAGCCAAAAAATTAATCCTAAATTGCATTAACAGAGAGATACAATCAAGATCAAGGGAGGTACTAATCCCACTCTATAAAGCCTTAGTAAGACCACACCTAGAGTACTGCATCCAGTTTTGGTCACCACGCTATAAAAAAAGATGTTGAGACTCTAGAAAGAGGGCAGAGAAGAGCAACCAGGATTATTAGGGGACTAGAGAGGCTAAAACATACAATGAACGGTTGCAGGAACCGCATGGCTAGTCTAGTGAAGAGAAGGACCAGGGGAGACAGGATAGCAGTCTTTGAATATTTGAGGGGCTGCCACAGAGAGGAGGAGGGAGGGTCAAGCTATTTTCCAAGGCACCCGAAGGCCAGACAAGGAACAATGGATGGAAACTGAACAAGGAGAGATTCAACCTCGAAACAAGGAGACATTTTCTGACAGTGAGAGCAACCAACCGATGGAACAGAAGTTGCCTTCGGAAGTTGTGGGAGCTTCATCACTGGAAGCTTTCAAGAAGAGACTGGACTGCCATCTGTCAGAAATGGTGTAGGGTATGAAATTGTAAACAGGACAGATAAAAGTATAAGTATAATGACCGTGAAGATATGTAAATATTGAAAAGGAAATGAAATAAAATAAGCCCGAGGGAGGTATTTGAGAAAAAGCCAATAGAGAATATACAAAGTAGTGATAAGATAAGAAATGGAGTATGAAAGATGAATACGTAACTGAAATTATATCTGTATGGAGATGTGAAAACCTGGAACCATGCTATTCACTAAAAAAAGATGTTTTCTTTTTCTTTTTGTTTTGTGAAAACCCAAATAAAATTGCTTTTAAAGAAAGGGTGTATGGTCTTCTACTTGGTCGGGGGGGTTGGATTAGATGACCTGTAAGGTCCCTTCCAACTCTGTTCCTTCTATGCTATGGTGTTATTGCAACTTGAACAATCCCTAAAGCAGTGGCTTTAAGACGAGGACTACCTCTAATGCACATGATTCTGAATTCAGTGGGAAACGCCAACTTCTAACTTTACTTTGGAAGCATCTCGAATCTGCCCTTGAAACCGCTCCAACAGGCGCAAACAGACCCAAAGGCTGAATGAGGACTAGGCATAAATATGGATTTACGTTGCCACATTTTTTTTTGGGGGGGGGGGGGCAGTTCCAGGCCTCACCATCCCCGTTACTCAAGACCTCCACAAAGGGAAAAATCCGACACCATCTGATGCAAGAGGTGTCAGTGGCTGAATTGCAACATGAGGAACAATGGAGCAAGGGACTCGGTGACACAACCGCAGGTTAACCACGAGATATCAGCTGCCCATCTCGACTTTAGAGGGCAGAAGAGGTCAAACGGAGACCTGTGATTTGTGTAAGAGGTAAAGAGGTGTGCTGGACAGCAATAGGGCAGGCCATTTTTCCCCCCGCAGGGTCCTTGCTGGTTTTCTAGAAGACATTTCGTCACCCAACTAGGTAACATCATCAGTGCTACGAGGGTGTGGGATTTGTGGAGTGGTGGAGGAGGAGGACTGTAGGGTCTTCGTTGCTTCCTGAGCTTGGTGGTTTCCTTGCAGATGTTTCGTTACAAACTGGGTAACATCATCAACGTGTTGGTTACCTAGTTTGGTCATGAAGCATCCTCCTCTCCTCCCCCTCCATTCCACAACCCACCTCCCTTCTAGCACTGATGGTGTGACCTAGTTGGGTCATGAAACGCCTGCAAGAAAACAACCAAAGTCAAAGAGCACCAAGGACCCCATAGTCCTCTTTCTCCCCCTCTCTCCACAAACCCCACTCCCTTCTAGCACTGATGATGTTACCTAGTTGGATCATGAAATGTCTGCAAGAAAACCACCCAGCTCAGTGACCACCAAGGACCATATAGTAGTACCCTGTTTCTCCAACAATACGGCCTCCCCCAATAGGAAGTCCCAGCATGTTTTATAGGCATGAAATGAAATTAAGCCCCTCCCCCCAATTAAGGCCTATATTAAAACATGCAAAATGGGGGGGGGGGGAATGGTGGGGGGGCTTGCCGTTAGGAAGTACTTTTGTGGCACACCCGGATATGGTGCTGCCTACGTTGACCCCGATGCGAAGTGCCCCACCAACGCCAAGGTCAACATCCAAGCCGTCGCCGCCCGCCCGAAGATGCAAGGGGGGGGGAATTAAGTCACCCCCGAAAAGACAGCCTAGTCATTTTTTCGGGGCTCAAAAAAAAATAAGACCCAGCCTTATTATATGAGAAACACGGTAGTAGTAGTCCTTCTCCTCCTCTTCATCCTCTTCCTCTTCCTCCTCCTCCCAAAACCCATCCCTTCTAACACGGATGATGTCCACCAGTGTGGTCAATGAAGCATCTGCAAGAAAACCACCCCAACTCAGAGACCACCGAGGACCATTCAGCTCTGATCTACAAAGATCCTCTTTTTCTCATTTCCTTCCTCTCCCTTCTTCCGTTCTGGACACGTTTTTAATTTCAATGACCCATCTGTTTTACTTCTCCCGTCTTGGCAAGGCTTGGGCTTAAAAGTCACCCAACCTGTCTATCACGCTCCGCTGCGTTTCCTCCAGAGGTTCTTAAAGTCGGCAAAGACCTGACGTTTTGCACATCCTGGTTGAGAGGAGGGTTGCTGGAAGGAGGTGGTGGACTCACCCACAACCCGGTCTCCCGGATGCACCCCCAACTTCCTCATGGCCGCAGCGTAGAAAGCCACCTGGTGCCTCAGGTCTTCAAAAGTCACTTTTTCGATCTCTTCCTTGCCTTCCCCTGAGGGAACAAGACCAGGTCCAGTTTCAAAATAAAATATCCTGTTTCCCCGAAAATATGACCTACCCTGAAAGTAAACCCTAGCTTGATATTTTTTTTTGCACGAGCACAATATAAGCCCTACCCCCCATAATAAGCCCTAATTAAGGTCCTGCCCACTCCAGAGTGAACAGGTAAAAATTAAGCTCGGGTGGGGATTAGGGGATGGGGCTGCCCTACTACTTACCTTTGGACACCTGCCTTACTGGCCCATTTCTTCTGCAGCCAGTAAGGCTGGTAAGGCTTTCCTGGAAGGCCTCTGGAGCTGATAGCAAAGCTCTGGATCGATCCTGAATGCTGCAGGGGCCTTCAGGAAAACCTTGCCAGCTGCAGAAGAAGTTCCTGAAGGCCTCTGACAGCGAAAAGGAGGCCGGGAGCAACACATGCAAATGAAGTTAATCAGTGGAGGACATCCCCCAAAAATAAGACCTGGTGCCTTTTTTTTGTGGCAAAAAAAATACATAAGACAGGGTCTTATTTTGGGGGGAAACATGGTAATACCCTGTTTCTCAGAAAACAATTCTGAGTCTTATTTCCTTTTAGACTTGAAAGTAAGTACTTGGGCTTATGTTCGAGGCGGTCTTACTTTTTTTGGAGGTGCAGCAGGCCAGACTCGGTGAGCTGGACGCGGCACGGCCTCCATCCCGAACCTTCGCAGCATTCGAAATGGCGGCCATTTTGCCGAGAACCAGGAGGAAAATGGAGGAGGGGGAATTTTCCTGCCTGCCACTCCTTCCCTCAGTCTGTGCTGAGCTTGAGGAATGGATGGCAGGAAGGGGGGGAAAAAACCTTCCCATTTTCCTCCCGTTCTCGCCAAAAAAGAGGGAAAAAGCAAACTGGCCAGGAAGCAGCCCAAGAAGCACTGGGCCCGGAAAGGGAAGGGCAAAAGCGGCATTTGCGCTGCCCCAAGGGGCCAGCAGGCTGCAGCCGACAGTGCCCCCCCCCCCCCCCGTCCCCACTCATGGGCGAGACCTATCCCCCCCCAGGCTTATTTTCGGGGTAGGGTAATATTAGGCCCACCCCAAAAAATTAGGGTTGGGCTTATTATTGGGGTGGGTCACTTTTTCGGAGAAACACGGTGTAGAAACACAGGAGCCTCTGTGGCACAGTGGTTAGAGTGCAGTACTGCAAGCTACTTCTGCTGCAGCCAGCTGCCTACAATTTAGCAGATCAAATCCCATCAGGCTCCAGGTTGACTCAGCCTTCCGTCCTTCCGAGGTGGGTCAAATGAGGAGCCAGATTGTTGGGGGCAAGAGGCTGACTCAGTAAACCGCTTAGAGAGGGCTGTAAACCACTGTGAAGCGGTATATAAGTCTAAGTGCTATTGCTATTCCTCTTTTCTCCTTCCTTCCTTCCTTCCCTCCCTCCATTCCTTCCCTTCCCTGATATGCAGTGGTTAGAATGCAGTATTTCAGGCAAACTCTGTCCACTGCAAGCAGTTTGATTCTGAACCAGCTCGTTGACTCAGCCTCCCGTCCTTCCGAGGTGGGTCAAATGAGGAGCCAGATTGTTGGGGGCAAGAGGCTGACTCTAATAAACTGCTTAAAGAGAGAGCTGTAAAGCACTATAAAGCGGTATATAAGTCTAAGTGCTATTGCTATGTTAACGTCTGAAGAAATTAGCAGGCTCGAAGGCTGGATGCTATGGCCCAGCCCACTAGTTGCTGGATGCACAGACCCACAACCTTCTACGCAGGCATCCCAAAATCGCCCTTTCTTTCTTTTTAATCCCAATTGCTCCTTGTGAGAAAGAGACGAGTCCCAACCTTCACACCTTCAAATTTAATCCAGGGTGGGTTTTTTTTTTTTTTTTGTTTCCTTTCCCCAAATTCCCAAAATAATTACTAGGGCAAGAACAGGCAATGTTCCCCCCATTGTTCTCGCGCCGTCATTACGAAGTCAAACACAACACAACTTGCCAAAATTCTCTGGCTGAAGGAGGGGGAGGCAGAGAGGTGAGTTTCACTGGGGCTTAAAAGCGGTTTTTTAGCAGCCTGGAGAAGATCCAGGTGGGCAAAGGAGCCAAATGCAAGATGCGTGGACAGCACAGTACACGTCTGCGGCAGTAGTTAAAGGGGCGGCCTATGAAAGTTTGGGGCCATTATGGTGTGGGGGGAGAAGTGCCCTGGCCTTCTGCAACTCCAGCCACCAAGGGAGAAAGGAGAGGGGGAATCAGGACAAAACACAACAAGGGGAGGTTTTTGGGAGGCAGGAAGTATTCCTGCAGTCTCCAAGGATTGGAGCCCTTGGATTGGGTGGAAGAATGCTTAAGGCAGATTTAAAAAAAAAAAAGGAGGCAGGGATGGGAGACTACAAGGAAATCCATCCTGTAAACTGGAGTAGGTTCCTAAAAGATAACATTGGAAAAATTACTCCCGCATGACTGCTAATAATGATGAAAGATAGAGGGAGGGAGGGAAGGAGGGAGAGAGATAGAAAGAGAAAGGGAGGGGGA